AACGCAATGGAGACGCACGGCTGAAGCCCTATGTTCCTCTAGGAATTAAAGGATACAATAATAATAATGAACTGAAATAGCGTTGGTCATACTTTACAAGTCGATATTATTTAAAAAAACGCTAATATTGTTATTAACTACTAATTTAAAATATTCTGTGTATATAAACATAGATATAGTTGTAGAGCCTGGAAGAGGAATTTGCCGAAAAGAATATTATTTGCTCGATTATTTTGTGTTTTATAGAAATCTGATTGTCAGTTGTACACAAGGTGAGAGGAGGATGGATGTTTCAATGAAGTGAAAGACAAATTATCTAAGTAAGCTTGTGCTCCTCTGTATTTTCCAGTGGAAAGCGTTCACAAATTTTGTACAATTTCCCTGCTACCAAACGTAGACAATCACGAAGCTTGTATGTTGGACGGAGTATACTTATACTTACCGAGCTCACATCATTGTCTATGAATGTCAAACTCACAGTTTATCTAGATGTGAAATTCTTCACAAACAGTAAGATAACGCTAAATATATCCAATAGAAGGTCCATAAATCATACATCCTGGTGAAAATCATAAGTCATTGTCATGCAACATAAGAAAAGCTCTGATTGAACTGTTTGTATGATTGAACAGCAAAAGTGGGTTTCTACTTCTTGTAATAATTCATACATATAAGCGGATGAATAATATATCTGTAAGCAGAACATAGACATTGTTCAGCAGTGTTGTGATGTTGTACAGAAAGAAATAGCTAATATAAACGTATTCCGTCATCAACAGCAACTAAGGAGAAAAAGTGGAATATTCATTTCACCAACAGTATTTGCATTCTATCACCTGTGACACAATATGGTAAGTGACACTAAGGTTGGACGAATGGTGTTGTTTTGAGCCAGTCACGTAGGGAGGTATAGACTACTTTGCTGGTGACAGAGCCATTGGATTGAGACTGGTGATGATATGACCTAAAATCCTTCTCAATAGCGGAAATGAATTCACTCGTGGTCTACTCCAAGAACCATTCAATTCTGATTATTCTTCGTCTAACTATCCTTTCTCCCGTATATCTCCTTTCATTGGAGTTTCTTTGAATAGTTTTTTCTCCACCTACTCAATGTGTGCCCTCTGAAGTGGGCCGAATTCAGCTGATGCACCGTTCTACGACATTCTACACTGAAATTCAGTTGATGTCAGTCAGTTCAGTGACGGATTGATTTGAATGGGGAGAAAATCTGTGGTGAATAAAATAACAAATATTAACCTGTAGAAGGTACTGTCTACATGGATTGCTAAAGTAATTCAAGAAATGTGTGATGATTGAATATGGAAGAGAAGCTACTTTGAACAGTATTGGCTAGTATCGCTATCCATTCAGTCATCGGAACTATATGTTCAAGTCACCGAGAATTTTAGGCTGCTTATCAAATATTTAGAAAAGGATTGCCGGAACGCATTTATTCAATGAATTACAACACACAAGAAGAAATTCGCGTGCCTCTTCTACATCAGTTTACATCACAGGCTTCCTTTCGAAGATATCTAGGCACCGCGATTTCAAACCAATATGTGGGGACATATATGCTTCACATACTTATTGTATACTTATTGAAGGCATATCAATGAAAAGACTTAAAAGTGACATTTGTCATCAAATATCATTTACAGTTACACTCTACCTGTCTGCCTTGATAATACAATTTTTAAACTTAAGTATATTCAGATAATAACACTCCCCCCCCCCCTCCCACACCAATTCTCAACATTTTCTCTTCCCTCCTGTTTGTTATTATCACTGACAAATTCTTATGCTGACCTAAATTGAACTGAAATTTGACCTTTCATGTCTTGTGAGTTGTTTTCTTGTTCAATATGTGGATGACCAATAAAAAAATGTGTTACGCAATGATTACACATCATAGCTAAATTACATTGGTAAATTACATTTTCCAATCGATTTGTCTAGATTCCGGACGAGAATTAGTCATTTTGAAAATTCACACTTCCAGTGTCATTTCGACTGAGAAATGTCAATGTTAAGAGCTCGAATTTATTCTAGCTTACCAAATCTCAATGACGATGGAGAATATCCAACGCCAGTACGTTAATAGATTTCACTTCGTTTCTTTATATATTGTCCACTTTTTGTTCCATAAATCATCGCTTATTGTAGTTTTTACAGTCTTTTTGTTTCGGCCAAGCGACTGGAATTTCGTGAGGTCACTTTAGTCTCAATAACGTAAGCATTTATTGTACTGAATCGACACAAATTTCGCTGTTATAGAATATAACTTGAATGAATCGAATATTGGTGTTTCACTTACTTATATCTTCTACACCCTCCATTTAGGTGGCTCCTCCAAACACACCCTGGTCGTATCGGTGTACTAAACAAAACCTTTCCAGTGAACTTTATACTTTGGATGCAATATCGAAATGTTTTTCATGGGATTCGGTGAGTCATTCTTTCTTATCTGTAGTTTCATGAAGTAGGCATGTTTTCTGGAAGCTTTTAATTCAGTGCCCCTCTCACTTTGTATACAATTGCATTTCAAAATAGTATAGTGGCTATTCCGTGAGTATTTTGTGTGAACTGAGGAGGTCCTAATCAACAGTCGTTGATCGTTGATGAGACATTTTCTAATTTCACCTAGATTCAATATATCACGATGACTCTTCCTACTGAATGAAACGTATTTTAGGAGGTCACCAGCAGTGTCATTACAATATATTCAATTTTCACTGATCAGTGTGTTTTGACGAACCAGATTGATACGATGATACCCCATTCGGTGTATACTATCTACCAAGACGATTGTATATCTCTGACATGGAGTGGAGTGCAGTAGAGGTAGTAGACCGGTTCCGTACAACTACCGGATCACCATAGATAGGTGACCTTCTCATTGTTTTCTCCAGTATTTGTGATTGTAAATATTCGCGAACATGACAATTGATGTGTCTCCTCTTCTCTTCGTGTTAATATAGATATTTATCCATCAAATAGTGTTTGAGATATCAGTAGGACACTTTTAACGCAGTGTGTATCCCACACTAATTAATTCCAGTATGAGATTGGTGTGTTTGTGTCGGCATTGAAAGCTCAATGAGAATGATGTCAACAGTGAGAATTGATTTGATTAATTTGTGACGATTCTGTGTAACAGACAATCTGCATGGAAATACTACTCGGAACTCAGGAATCCGAAGTATGAGTTGTCAAATTGTATGATCACTTGTTCAGTAATTCACTACTATTATTACTACTATGACTCCTTATTCTTCCCAACATTGTTAGATTCAGTCACACAACCATTCGACTGAAAGTTTGCACGAGTCACTTGGTTCACTTTCGAAATAACTGATATGGCACACTCATAGTGAAAATCATGCTCACGGAAAAAATTACCTCCAGATATTGTGGAAAATGTATCAGATGATTAACTAATTAGTCAGTTATTCGGCTTATTTATTTATCACTTCAGATATAAACATCAAATCAAGTATAACTGTAGTATTTCTTTTGATATTTCATTATGTCACTTTAATGATAGTGTTTGAATGGAGTTGGTTGTAATGCAACACCCTTAAGTCGATGCCGGCATAAAATGGAGACACCTGTGACGAGGAGTCTTCAGGAACAACCGAATTCAGTTGAGAAGCAACAAAAAGCATTGGAGAGTGTGAATGACATTTCTCGGCGGAAAGACAATTATCCACAATCGGTAAGATAAGAATTACCACTTGTAATACTTGCCTTATTTCATGATTGTAAATCGTGTGAATGTGAATGTGCGAGGAATTTGAGATCGTGAGACAATTATTTGTAACTTCGTATGCATATCATCACTTCTGCACTTAAGTGATTGTTTTCTGAGTCGAGTCTTCGGTGATTGATTACACGGCACTGGTATCTCCTCAGCTTTGAAGTGGTTGAACGAAATCCTCCGGTTACCTTCCTAACATTGGCTAAACACACGTGGTTATGTCTACTCAGTGTCAGTGGGTCAGCCTTGCGCAGTTGGTAGGTTAGGTTGGATAGTCAGCCTGACTGATATGGGACATGAACACTGAATGCATTATTTATTCCGGATTCTGCATGACATTGAAGTGTGACAGTGTAGCTTCGTAGACACTGGTGTTATGGTAATCGGTTTCGGAATTCACTGTTTGCAGAGTAGTTGACTGACAATGACTGGTAGTCTGATATCCGATATGTTTACATTTATTACTGTTCACTCTACCTCTTCCGATGTGAGAAATGATCATATAATGTGAGTAGGAGTAAATTATTCTGAGGTTTATTCAAGGTTAGTATATGTCCTCGATGAGAATGTATGTATGTTTGAGAATTTCTCTGGGAGGTAAGTGATAAAACGAGAAGTGAAATCTGTAATAACGAGTCGTCGTCAAAGCCTCTGGCGGACAGTAGTTAATTAGTGACTGAAGGTGAGTTGGCCATCAATCTGGGGTTTCCTATCACTGACTGTGCATGTCACATGCTAGTTCTGTGGTCTGGAGTAATTCTGGTGTAGGTAGGTGAGCATTAGTCCTTGGAATTATTTGATATGTCAGTCGTGATTATTCCCAACTAGACGAAACATGCTTTTCTCCTGCCTACGTAAAGTTCCCCTCCATATTAGCAACACGCCTACAGTAATTCTAACTAATTCTCCCACTTTACAACACTTGTCTCTCTCTCTCTCTTTCTCTTTTTTAGTTACTTGAAGAAATAAGAGCAGAAGAAGCCAAGCCGAGAGCGCCTAACAGAGTGTTAATGCGAGAAGTCAGACGAGAATAAGTGGAATAAATCGGAATACATAGTGACGTGATATTTCTCCTACGACTTTTTGTTTGCTGTAACTTTTTGTTCAGAATACATATTTATTTATGCATGGAAATTGAGTGTTCTTGCCTTCTCCCTACTTTACTTCGCTTGACTCCGACAGAGTGAAGGAACTGACTCCAACTAGGTTGATTCAAGTGTCATTGGCGTGTGTTTGCAAGGAATAATGTTGGGCGATCTCAGTCCGTCACATACAATTCGATCAGTTGTCCAGATGAATATGTAGGCGTCTTATAAGATCCACGATTCACGTCTCAGATATGTGGTTTACACGATTTGGCTGATTCATTTCTGGCTTCATGAATTAGATGGTTTAGGTGAGTCATGAGTATGAACTAGTCTCTCTCTCACAGATACACTTAATTGTTTCATATGACAGCTGACAGAAACTCAGTGAACATGAGTATAAATCAACAAGTTTATCTGAGATCGCCAATCATTTCAGCTCTCCTACTTCCCATTTCATACAAGAAGTAAATGTGATTATTTATCTGATCTTGTGACATAGAAAAGGCCATTTGAAAAAGATCACGAATTCATTGTTTAATTCATAGTTATTCTGCACAGTAAGTGTATAAATACATTTATTCATAAAACAGTTTTCGTTGGCTTCATTATATCAAAGGTGGTAGTGTGTCTATTAATTAACGAGCTTATTCGCTATCAATACAGAGATCCTAGATAAGACTCAGTGGAACTATTTATAGCAGTTGTGTCAGCTCTTCCAACCATATGATGGGAGTTAACTTTTTCTGAAGATCACTTGCTTAGTGCACTTTCTGATTCGAAGTAGTACAAAACAATTTCACAGTGGATCATCCAATATATTTAAATGTACAAATTAAAACTCATATGTTAAAAGTATGCATACCAATGGAATTCTCACCAACGTTTAACAAACAGATTCTGTAGTTAATTCAGCTCCGTCTCACGTCATTTCTGCTACACATGTTCTTCCAGTTAATTCTAATTCTGTGACCATAGGTACCCGCGTTTTATCTCCCGTATTCAGTGGTATAATACGGTGAGCATTGTTGAGGTTAGGTGTCTAGTGTTAGGAAAGGAGGGGAACCAATCGACGAGGTTGTGAAGCTACATCAATTGGGATGGTTAGGACATGCGTCACGCATGGATCCCAGGTCACTGATCGCCTTCTTCTATGGACAGTGTAAGCTGACATAGGATCAGGTTGGAAAAGGGCTAGTGGTGGTCAAACGAAAACACGGCATCAGACAATGTAATCCACTACAGTTGGATTTAGCCACGTAGAAAGATATAGACTTTGTGACTGGTTGGGAACCTTGGGATGGTAGGAATCAATGAAGACTGGAGACAATTGGTAATATGGCTCAAAATCTTTGTCAATGACGCAGATACATTCACTTTTTGTGACTTGACCTATCCAATAAAACTCTGTTGTTTTTTCTATATTACTTTTCTTCCCCCTTCACATTTCTGTATTCTGTCTTCCTGCTGAATCTCTTTTTCTCTCTCTCTTTTGTCTTCCTTTTTGTGTTACATGGAGTGTGGCGATTCGAACTGCTGCACTTCTGTGCAAAGTTCTATGCTGAACCCAGTCAGTCAGTCAAATTCTAATATATTAAAGCAAACACGAAGATTACTCTTTTCCGTCTATGCCAGTAAGGTCTGATGAGTGTTTTCGTTTATCTGTATCTACAAATTGTTCAGACATATGCGTATTGTTTACTTTTTGTAACTAACTCCACTTTATTTATTGACTTTATAACTTGCTCATTTTACATCGGACGATTGACTTCATAAACAGCAATAGTAATAATGATAGTAACAATAACAAAAATGAAATACATTATCATGACTTCTCATTTAAAAGAGAGAAATACATTTTAGGGCAAAAACAATTATGCACGTGTACACATAGATATTTGTACTCATTTAAGTGACAGTAAAGCATACAAGTTGATTTCAGAAGCAGTTTTCGTTGCATGTGCTCCATACGGTTCATTTGCACGTCACGGACTAGTGAGTATTTGCATGACTTGTTACAACCTTTCACTTTATTAATTCATATTCTATGTTTCTGTTTACATGAACTCGATGAAGTGCCTCGCACACACGTACACACTCTTACACACACATGTTTGAATAATCAGCAGCATAATGATAAAATTTAGCTTGTTTCTAAATGATAAAAATGAAAGTCTACATTAAACTGCATACCAAACGTGATACTTGAACTAAGGACTTCATAAAGACGCTATGATTATGATTCTCCGGACATTTATGGTTCCATATAGCATTGCTTGCATCATTCCATATGTAATTAGCTGTTATACACTAGTTAGTTGGTTAGTTGGTTTACAGCGAATACTTTCAGTGACATAAATGTCGACTTTAGAAGAATGTATCATGGCTAACATCATATCTATGCGACTTCACAATCAGTTCTGTTTCCTAATATTTTCATCAAAATTTCCCATTCGGTTTCACTTAAGTTCTCAATAAACTTGTAGAATGTGTTCGATTCCTTTAGCACTGAGTTCAGTCCATCTCCTGCCTCGTCTTGTAACATAATGTATTCCTCTTTTTCTTGCCTTTCTCTTTCATGTTGCTCATGTCTATTTGAAGAAGACAAGTGAAACTCTGGTAACAGGCGTTCATGAAGGAGACGTAATCGTTTTTCAAGTTTTAAATGTGTCTGCGTACTTTGTCCTTCTTCATTATGAGTAAAGATATTAACGGTGTTTTCATGTGATGCTTTCTTAGCATGACTGTAGAGTAAAGGTTTCACTGAGAAGTAATCATGAATATGACAGTAGTAAGAATGATGCGTACTGGGTATTGATGTGACTTCCTTTTCTCTTTGTGCTTTCAAGTGGTAAAGATAGTTTTGTGAGTAAGGGATTTTTGAGCCTTGCAAATCTAAGGCATTTATATTACTCTTGTTACCATGAGGATGTTTAAATACTGCAGGATTCGAGTTTACTCTGTATTTCGTTAATGACAATGAAGTTGTTGGACAAATCACGGGTTTTGGAACGTGTTTAATAATATTGTTGACATTGTACTCTTTACTTGTGGTGCATGCTATGGGTTCGTCTGTAAAAATTGATCTTGAAATATCATTTTTATGAGCACATTTGTCACACTTCAAGTGAATTGTACGGGGCTTGGGAGTTGGAGTTGTTGAGTCGACCTTACTTCTCGTTACATCGCCATCATTCAGAATTACCTTGAATAAATTCTGTTTTATGCACTGTCGTCTAGCTGATACACTGCTGGTACATTGTAGATGCTTGCAGTGAATACACTTCCTATCTCTTTCTGAATATATTGGAATACAACACAGCGTCGCAAATAACAGAAAGAAAGGGAGAGGAGGAGAGAAAATATGGAAACTGAGTATATTCAGGTGGACTTTAAACATTACATTTTAAATTGGTAACTTTTATAAACAGTTCACATTATAGCTGGATTCCGTGTTTGTCAGAGCCTAATTTACAAGTCAAATCGTTTCTGCATTGTTTTTGGAGAAGAGATATAACAGTGTACAGAAAATGATAACAATTGGTAAAAAATGCCTACACCACTATCGTTATGCTTAGTTCACTCCGTCATTGTTTGGGTTCGGATAAATCTCTAACCATTTATTGTTATCATGGCAGCCAATGAAGAGCACTTTGACTCAGTACGCAGTTCTAAGCAGCCTATTCTTGTTTTATGTATACTAGATACCGTTGGCAATAAAATGTCCACCGACTATATTAGGCTCTGGAGGGTCTTAAAAGTGTTAGTGGTTGCCTTACTTGGCAAGAACGATGTAACTATCGGCCTTCGGAAATTAATACAAGCAAGTACGTGGTCATACGTGTGGTTTATAACAACATTCATAACTACTCTATAAATGCACTTTGCTCTTCATGTAGTTACTAGGCGTAGGGACTTAGGAGTGACTGTTAAAAATGACCCACAAACTTAAGCAAACGGAGAGGAGTCTTAGAATATTATGGCCTCTCCATAAGACTCAGCAGGTTTATTTCGTATATTATATCCAACCTATATCAGACCCTAGGTAGTCAGTCTGTGTTTCAGATATGAAGCAACCATACCAAGAAGGATGTAAGAAATGGGAAAAACCGAACTTAGAATTCTCAGAATTCTCGTGCACAGAGAGACTTAGTCAACTATATTAATTCTCACTTTCACAATGAAGGTTGGCGAATGTCCTCATTACTGTATCCCGTATTTTGAGTAGTGGCTTAGGTGCTTATTCATGAGAACTTACGAACTATGGGGAATAGTTAGCACAAGGGAGTGAAGTGTTACCTTATATATACATATACATATATATATACATATCTGTGAATGCAATATTAAGTGAACAAATTATAGCACTACAGGACTTTATCAATCTTCCAATCGTATTCGTATATTGGAAGGGAAATGGTTGTCGTAAGGTTAGTGACTTTCATCAGTTCTCCGTACAATAATCTCTGTGTTGTCATACTAGGATATAGATGAAGTCAATATTTACTGTCTTCACATTCGTAAGCACGGTGAGTATAATCTCTAAATATATGGACGCATTTCACATATTAGCTTCCTTAATTAAAAGCAATAAATCCTGAATGAATAAAATTAACTAGGTAGGGGAATGGATTACTTATGAACTATCACTTACGTAAATGTTTCGGTGTTGATATGAGCTGACACGGTGAGGGAGCCACTTTGTTTATTTCTTTTTTATTAGATGTTCGGAGAATTTCATTAGTTGTGAACTGAACACCGAAATCTTTAGTCATTGATTCAAATGATCTAGTTGGCATGTGAACCTGTGTCCCATTGTCTACATAATTTCTCTTTTCACTGGTTAACTCTTCAGTTGCTTCTCTTCCTTTTGTTGGATATATTTGACATTGCGCTGATGTGATAGAATAAAGGGTTATCCATACAGAATATTGAAATGATTTCAGACACACCAGATTTCTTATAATATTCATGAATGATAGAAATTAGAATGCATAGGCCATTAAATTCCAGCTCAAATGGCTGAATGATCAATGAGCTGGCTTCGTAACCTGAAGGTCTTGAGTTCGACCGCCGGTGGGTTCACCGATGCGTACTGCTGAAGAGTGCCAGACCAGAGTAAAACGACTGTCCAGTACTCTCTGGTTTTCAGTGGTCATCCAAATGATATCAATCCATGATCAAAGTTGAAACCAATCAAATCCCTAAAAACTAACACTTCAAAACAATTAATACCTTTTATTCTATTCATACTAAAAATGAGAAATCAGCTTCTGCTGATTTGAAGTTTATAAGTGTTATCATTGCAAGTCAGAGCCCCACGACCACCGTGAACTAATAGTCTTTGAAATCAAGTTCTTACCTCTTGAATCAATGAAATGCTACATCTATGCATTGTTACGCCTTTCAGTTGCCTTGTTTTTATTTTGTCAGTTTAGTTATAGAAATAGTAAATGACGCCGTTTTTTCTTTGCCCAAAATAGTAATAATACGAATAGTAGACACCACCTAAGGTATTTTTAAGGTAACCTCTTTTAATCACTCAAAGTATTTATTTCTGTTCAAAGATCTAACCGGGACTGTTTGGTAACGGTGTGTCAAATAGTTTTCCAATGAATTGCATAGAACCGTTCAAGATCATAAATAAATACACCTTTAAATAGATAAATTTGTTTGAGATCTACTTCTTCTTCCATGGGAACAATTCATTTCTAGAGTGAGAGAGAGAGAGAGAGTTCCTACTGATATTCAGATCGCAATGAAACGGCAAACTTGTCCAGTGTATCTATTATTCTACGTAATAGAGTAGACTAAGTGAACCAGTGACTGCTGATAGCTTATGAAACCTGACAACGAAATAAAAACGGTTCCATTGACATGCGTTACCAAACTATTCATAACACCTAGAAATAATCGAACACGCATCAGAATATCACTGAACAAGTGACAGTAAGCTCTGATGCATCTCATATGTGCGTGTGCGGTTATGTCAAACACTAATTTCAGTTATGTTTGTGACTGTTCTGCCACCTACCCCTACAACGGGTAGCTGGATTTCACATGAAGAAGCCAGACCGGAATGTCCAAAGGAAATTTGTACAGTCATTGAGACCTAAACCTTTTACAACTTATCATTCTACTGATTACTTCATTTCTCTGACCACTGCATCTTTAATGGCTTGTTAAATAGTCAGTCGAAACAACCATTTATTTTCAAGAGTTGATTTGTAGGGTTTCGATTTGTTTCGAGTCTGATCACGAATCGATATCAGTTGTAGAAGTATTGAAAATTGGGGAGTACTTGAAAGTCACTTCATCCTAATTTGGGACTCTTCATGAGTACGCAACCACTGGGTCTCCAAACCAAAACCCTCCGGTCACAAGGGAATATTGCCCCTTATTTAATCCATTTGTTTAATGTTTGCAATTGTTTTTACCCTTTAATTGTTTACATTAATTTTCTCGGTTAATTATCACTCTCTTGACATGTCAATACTGACTAATTGTCGCTAAGTAACTTATCACGACTAGATTGGTATTTTCGTTTTATTGTATTGAGCACACTGTGTAATACTTAGAATAAATCCACAGAAGAGAGATATTTTTCCACACTGAAAATAATAAATCTAACCAAGAGAATACCACATATTCACGTCTTGCATTATTGATTGCAGTGTCTGAGAGGTGCGTTATCCAGACTTGTTTTGTTGGTATTCGAAATAAAGACGGAAGGTAAGGTACGCTAGGTTTCTGGGTGAGATACAAAACGAAGTGATGTTACGATAGATACTCCAGTTGCATTTCGAATGTTGTTCACAGAAAGTTTAGATTATTTTTGTAAACATTTTTGTAACATTAAAGACTTAGAACCAACTCTACAAAGCTGTATGCAAATCTGCTTGATCTTCACAGAAGACTAGTTGTTATCAAAACAAAATATCATTGAAGGCAGAACACTGAAAATGTCAGTCCTAAAGGAAATGAATTTCAGTTTTGATTCTTCGGCATACTAAAGCAATAGGAAAGAAATTAATGGGACAGGAAATTATTCGCTTATGTGACAATATAAGACACTTTTGCATTAGCAGACTAATACTTCAGTAGGGGATCTGAACAAATGCCTTCCTGTAGGTTTAAGTCTCTCAGAAGGAAGAATCTTCCAGGTGAATCACCTGGTTTTATTCATTAAAAGAATGTCAATTTAAAATTACGAATGTTCAAGCTACACAGTAGAATCTAAAATCGACTGAATAAGACGATATTTCATCGTTTCCATGGTCGTAGAAATGAGTACGGTAAAAGCATCAGCTATGGAAAAGTTAAGGAAAGTAAACCTGAATTTATTTTTTTGATCCTGCGAAATACTATCCCATGTCAAGCGTTCACCATTTAGAATTAAAACGCGTATAAGTTATGTGTACCTTATATGGAATTCGTATAGTCGAATATCGCTATTGTTGTTGCAAAAATAACCACCGTTTGTTATCTCAGTGTCTGAAAATAAGTTTCACATCTTATCTCTTACATAAAAGGCATCTTTCAGTTCACTCGTAGAAAAAAGCTGAAGTAACATGTCACCCAGTGTCTTTCGTGCAGACGAAGATTCTCAATGAATGTTGGCTGAAATTTTTATTTCTAGACTGTTTTCTACCACAAAAGAGTTTGTTTAGAAACTTTCAGTCCTTATAGCACAGTTTAAGAATTTCTTAAACATTAAGATTCAACAACCATGAAATAACTATTGAAGACCCTGTAGATAATGTGCTTCCTTATTTCGCAAGGGAAACGAGGTTTTTGAAAATTCAAGCAACGTGTTTAAGCGGAAAACTCTGTTTCAGTGAAGTAGGTCTTTAGAAATGTGAACCAACGGAACAAATTGTATCAGTAATTTCAAACTATATCAGCATGAAATACCCAGTTGCACTACTAGACCAACGGGATTAATGGCAGATAATGTGATTCTTTCATGAAGCCATCCTAAAAGCAAATGATCGTTAAAGTCCACACAGTATACGGTGGCTTTATTTCCATAAGTTCACTCTGATTATTCTTGCTGTTACTTTGCGATGTGACAACTCTTCATTCTATCAAATATTTGATCTGTTTTTAGTTTTTAGTATCCTTGAAAGTAATTCCAAGTATTTCAACCTACAAAATATCTTTAGTCTAGTAAATCTAGGCTCTGTTCTATGAATATGCAGTACTTTTGGTATTACAAATCAGAATGAATTCTAGGAGCAGGCTTGAGTAAATGATGGTCGATAAATTTAAATCATGCTGTAAGTCAATAACACAAAACTCTAGTTTGAATGTTCACTTAGCTTCCTATGTTTGATCGGAAAACTTTGTGGTAATCACTGTATTGTTTCAAGATTTGCTTCATATGAATTGGCAGGCGATGTAAAAGCCTAGCTGGTTTCAAAACAGAGTACACCTTTTGCTTATTTCTTGTGTGCTATGCAATCAGGAGAGGCGTTGAAGCTTGTAACACATTTTTATGATTTTCATTCACTCACACACAAAAATGCATAGGAAATAAGCGAAGCGTAACCACGTTAAATGTCTTTATTGTGTAGGATACTTTAGCTTACTAGAATAGAGACTAAATCAGTATGAATACTCGCAGCTGTTGATATCCAAGCTAAATGAAGCAGGCATTATGGTTATGCATTTCATGACTTTGGCATGTAAACACTTTGTGTAAACACAGTTGCCACTACTATTTACCTTAATCCCATGACTAATATTGTCACAACATCTACCAAGTCGCTTTTGGTTAATGCCAGAATGCACGTTTGAATTCACCTGTTATTGCCTAAAGTTCACACCTAGAAGAAATTCCCCTTGTGACTTGAAGATGAAAATTTCCTCAGGGGAGAAAACTAGACAGAGATAGATTCTTCTTCAGGTACATTTGAGATCTGTTCACCCAGTAGTGAAATACAGGGAGTGAACTCTGAGTAACCGTCATTGGAAAACAAGAAATTTCGAAAAGATTTCAAAAGATTTCCCCGAAATGATGTTTATTTACATAATTATGTGCATTTCCAGTCTAACCCAACCATTATGAAGAGGAAAACTCTCAAAATTTTTCAATGGCAAAAGTTATCCTTAATAGTTATGGGAAGGAAATGGAGAAACATAATGAATCACTAATTTTCAACTACTGGGTGTGTGGAGATTTAAGTGACTTAAAAGTGGATTACATCATGAAATGACATCAGTCGGCAGACCACAGAAATCTAGGCTGTAGTGACCAGCTATTTCCCTACACTTCAGGAATCTTCTGCACTACTCACCCATGATTCCACCAGAAATAGAACCCAGGAGCATCAGCTCAACACTAGGCTGCTGGGTTTGGATCCAGTGGCCTATGAACTTTGATTTCCGTCACCATCACTGTTATCAATCAATGTCATCAACGAGTATCTATCCCCACATCCAATTATGTAGACCTCAGCGGTGACGGATTCTCGTCGGAACCACAGCTATTCCTAAACCAAGATGAAACAACTGTTCAGTGCTCTCTGGTTTTGAATGGATAGTTATTGTTGGATTTAAAATTACGCATGCCACTATTCAAGTAGAGTGTCTCTGTTAATGATGTGGTCAAGATATGTAAAATGTACTTATCTAATCCACTTCTATGTCAAAACAACACATAATTTGGGTAGATATAAACTGAAAAAGTTTTAAGACAGTTAAGTTTAGTCATGGGTTGATGTCCGTTATAGAACCATTGAAAACCAGGGAGTATTGGACAGCCGTTTCGTCCTGGTTTATAGCACACAACTACCAAGAGTGAGAACAAATACTCCCTGGTAACACTGACTGATGGTAACGCTAAAATCATGAATTGGTAGAAGTTAGAATTCATAGGGTGGCCATTGAGACGGGTCCCAGTGACTCAATGGTCTACGAGTTTGCATTCTAACCGGAATGTCTTCGGTTCAAAAGCCAGTGGTGGGTTCGTTCTTCTGATGAGTCTCAAACTTGGAGGAGACAACTTTTCAGTACTCCCTGGTTTTCAGTGGCTCTCTGACTGATATCATTCCGTGATCACGTTTGAAACATGTCAAATATCAACAAACAACAATCATTCCCTTCACAATGAAGGCAGTGCTGAAGACTATGTCCAGTAGGACTATAAAGGCTGTGCAGATCAGAGAATGCAACAACACCAAAAGCATCCAAATGAACTTGTAATTTCCATCATTTTAATATCCAGTAGTTTGTGGACAAAAGCAACACTAGGCGTTATTATAGGTGTCTACAGAGCAGAAAGATTAAAGTGTTATAGATCTTTTTTAATATGTATTAGAATTTAATACCGTGACACTGATATGTCTTTGTCAGACCATTCACTCTGTTGAAATGCCAATAATGTTATAGCGTTTTTCACATCTTCAACATGTCATACATTTGGGAAAAGAGTAACATTTTATTGCAAACAAAAGGCATTAGGTGTAAGTGAGAACCACACTTTAAGAAACCTTTCTGCACAGAAGTGGAATGCACACCAGTCGTTTCTAAACTACCACAAAGACGCTTAACTTGCTGAGACAGACATATTTTGAAGAATGTAAGAGTAAACTTGCTTTAAGCTGATTTTTAATTCATTGGAGAAAGGTGTTCAAATTTTCTAATGGTCATCTCCTTCATTGCCTTTTAGTCAGTTATCTAGTTTATATAATTCAGTTAGTTAACTCTTTTACCAAACAATATCCATTACTTCATTCATTATATTTATCAACACACTTTCTATTGTCTTTTATTATTTATTATTATTATTTTCTCTTTCTTTTTTAGAATAAAAAGAACAACCAAGTATCCCAGAATAATAATAAGAAGAAGAATAAGAATATAATAAGTTCAATTTTATTTGCCATGGTATTCGTATCACGTGATTAACAAAATTAAAATATATTTAAGAATAAAAAGTTAAATGCATCATTCACGTGAGCTGTGACACAATAAGCATGCAGGCAAACACACACACACACACACACGGACACACACGGAATATGAGATGTTATCGGTAATATCAGAAGTGAAACAGTAAAACATAATCTGGAATAATGCTTTCGCATAGGTTTCTGAGTATTAGACAATTAAATAAGCATTTCTGCAACAGAAACAAACTATCTATGGTGAACACAAAAAAAACTTATTCACGGTGCATTTCAAGTGGAAGATTCCATTTCACAGATTCACTGTAGTGTCTGATAGTTGGTGAGATAATAAGACCAGAAGATGGTATTTATACAAGAACGCTGGTAATGTCGACTGTTTCCAGTTCTTAACAATTATACTGAGTGTCATAACACAATGTCATAGTAATGTTAAGCAAAAGCCTACACTTGGACGTAGACATACTAGCGAACAAAGATTATTCGTTTTTTTAATTCACGAAAAAAATACCCTTCCGGACATGGACATAGGAATAGACTGTTCAGAGAAGGTACTCTCTGTGATGAATTCATTTAGTTAGCGACACAATTTCAGTTACATGATGATTTATTAAATTGTAACTGGGGTGGCTGAAGATTAGTATTTTCAGACTAAAGTTGTGTCATAGAAAAATCTGATGTTAATAAAAGAGTATGGAGACACATATCAAAATAAATTATGTAGTATGTGAACAGTACGAACAAAAAGTTAGGTGAATAATTTTAATGAATGCCAAACGAAAAATACAAAAAATAGTCTTAATAACAAAATATTGATAACATTTGAGTTTGAAATTATATCCAAGATGGAAGGCGGTGATGAACAAGTTTCTTCTGTGCAAATAACTCAGGATTCTCAATCCGAGTTGCTAAGGCCTTAGTAATTCAAATTATACAGAAGCATACCGTTTTTGGGTGGCTTATGTTGACTTTATAGATAACTCTGAATGAATTTTCCTTACATAATGAGTGGTCAGTGTTGTATATTTATAATAAGTAATTTTACCTTTTATTGATCCATTGTGACCTTTCTATAGCCAAGAGGGATGGTGTTCTTTGATTCTTTTAGATAAAAAGCTCAATGAACGACTTATATATCTCTCCCCACAGAAGCAATTGAATTGGTAGACACACACAAAAGTGCTCAGATGAGAAAGTTTATCTTTAGAGTCATTGAAGAACATTAAGCGGGAGGAGAATACCAGTCTCAATGTGGAAGCGAGGAATTTTTTTTCAAGGCGCTTAATATTCTCTACTTTAGAGTGTTGGCCAGAAGGTCGCCTCTGAACGCCTTATTCATGCGTAGCATCTTCTTTGGTACAGAGATTGGGTTTTATTTGTTCGCTCTAGATCTTATGTGTTTATCTGTGAAGCTTTGGGAGTAACCATTATTTATCAGTGTCTTCCTCGAAACAGTGATCTCTTCATGTACTCACTCAGATCTGCAGATTTTTCTGATCGTTGTTGCACGAGATATTGTCAGGTGTCACTTGCGACTGATGATATTTATACAAATATATGTATACATAAATTAAGTTTTCCCCTCTTCAGGTATTATTTCATATATATACATATATATATATATATATATCACAACCTAATGGTCAGAAGAAAGATTTTTATGATATATAAACATTTGCCACACACAGTTTGAAGTGTGAAGCTGTTGCTTATTCATTTCCATCAACAATCACAAGGGAAACAAGCATGACTGACACTTGGGAAGAAGATATATCATACAATAAAACTGACCATGGATTCCCCCTACACTCACTTATACACAATCTGCATTTTTCAGAATTACGGGGTAATTTAGTCGATCATCTGTCTCATCCATGTTTATTCAAAACTGATACTTATCTGTTTGCAGCAGAGACTTGTAATTTCATGTGAAATATTAGCTGAATAGTTTGTGTAAAGTTATACTTCTCAATTGAAAATAGAAACTGAATGAATATTAACTTACTCTGTGTTTTACAGGTGACGATGTCTTGACTGTCTTCCTGTGAAATGTTGATGAGGTGTTGTTGTGTCCCTTCACTTATGTCTAAATGACAGTTCTGTTGAGGCTGAGACTCGTTTCGTTCTCCCACACTATTATAACGAATCAAACTAAGCCTAACTGGCCCATAGGCTTGCTTTAGCAATCTAGCTGCAAACGGATACACTGAACTAATTTTTGTAGCATTTTCGTTCAAAGCTTTCATTTCGTCATCTGCACAGTTAAAGTGTAGCCTTGCGTCATATTTATCAGACGGTCTAACAGCATGAGTGTCATCGGGATATGTAGAACTATTATCACCGTTGTTCACTATATTCAGTGAGTTCTTGATGAGTTGGTTTTGTTTAACAATTATTTCTTGATGACTGTCAGGTAGTCCATGCACCTTTGCGCTGAAGTCCTGCGTGTTACAGGTATAAGGAATTTCTGAAGGTGAAGATAATAGGCTTATAGAATTTACAGCTATCAACTGATCACCTGCTTTCAGTTTCCCTGACTTATCTGCCAATCCATTTGGTGTGACTGACTTAATAAATAATCCAGTTTGGTTACCTGAATAGAAGGAAATCAGAAAACATCACATTTCACGTTCACCAGTCAGTGTATCAGAAGTGAAAACATGTTGTCGAATTCCCGTGACTGATAGGAATCTGATTTCAATATAGCAAAAACACTTATTCAGACATCTATAAAACACAAAATAATCGAGCAAAGAATATTCTTTTCGGTAAGTTCCTCTTCCAGGCTCTACAATTATCTATGTTTATATACACAGAATATTTTAAATTAGTAGTTAATAACAATATTAGCCATCCAGGTTCGAATAATCCAGAATTTTCGTGAAATTTCCTTAATTTTAGTTGATATTCTATTCGCTATTATATCTTTATTATTATTATAATTTAGGCATCTATATAGTATTAACGCGCGCTTTTCGATTGATGCGCTACATTTTCATAGTTACCTAAATCTCTGATTCTTGTGGAATATCTTGCCAAAAAGTTGCAAAGAACTATTACAATTTTTTGCCTTTGAAACACTTATTTTTTGGATATAATATTGTATATCAATTATAACTATAACTATCTATTTGCCACTCTGTGCTTGTTTAACACTAACTAATACCTATAATTGTATATATTGATGGATTTACATGTTCAAGTTGGCTCAAGTCAGTGAGTCTATAATTTTGGTATCGTTTTGGTTAACTGTAATTGACTGTGATATTATTATTGTTGTTGTCGCTTGTTACCTGTAACACTCAAAGACAACAGGCACAAGCAATGAAGGGAGAACACGAAGATGCGGGAGAAAAGGTCTTTATTGTCACCACGCAAGACTCAAATTACCCGGGTACAAATTAGTTGTCCTCATTTATAACAAGTTTCGACAACCGGTCTTTCCTTCCTCTAGCAGGGTCACGTCCGCGTTCCTTTCTGAAAAATAGGAAATAGGAAGCTCGTTTAGTGATATCATACAAGTTTTTTTGTCATTACATACCCTTCTTGCTGTGAATTATTTTCCCGTGCTGGTGTTGTTCTGATTGTTTTATTCCCTGTTTTCCTGGTTTTAAGGAGAGCAACCCACAAGGTCGCTTCTCTCTAAATTATAATTTAATGTAACAATCCCCTTCTCAGGCGTGAGACTAGCAACCCCACCCTGTAAACAAAGCTGCTACAGAAACTTCAGCACGACGAATCTCCTTGAGCCAAAAGAAAAAGTCTGTGTGGGGACATGGAATGTCCGCACCATGTACGAGATCAGCAAAGCTGCCCAGATCGCAAACGAAATGAAAAGATACAGAATTCAAGTACTGGGGATATGTGAAAGCCGATGAAACGGGAATGGACTCACCAAAATTGTCGACGGGTGAGTCAGTGATCTACTCCGGTTACCCAGAAGATAACCACTCGCACACCGAGGGTGTGGCTATCATGATGTCACCAACGGCAACGAAGGCCGTGATGCTGTAGTGTACACTGTACCTTCGAACTTTTGTTTGAACGAACTCAGCCTGACCTTTAACCCCACTTCCACTTTGTATTCGTGAACCTCCTGTACGGTTTCGGTTTCGCTCTCTCGCTGTGCTTTCACCTAGCACACTCTCCGAGCTTACCACCGTTTCAACTGCAGATAAGTATATACCTCTTATTTCTTATCAAATTCCATATCTCTTTTGTGTAAATACAATTCTGTTCCAGTTGTACTTGCCATCTCAAGTCTTTTAACCTTGATTCCGTTCGTTAGTACTTGCACGTTAGGCAGAGTACTATTAAGGCCATAAGCGTTGAAGAAGTTTTGTAAGAGTGGTTATTATAGGTCGAAGTTAATCCAAATCTAACTCTTTACTTTGTTTTGTTCAACACTTGACGGTACACCTAATAAAAAGTGATTTTTATGAATTGGAATATTTTCAGAGAACCGAACGCAATGGAGACGCACGGCTGAAGCCCTATGTTCCTCTAGGAATTAAAGGATACAATAATAATAATGAACTGAAATAGCGTTGGTCATACTTTACAAGTCGATATTATTTAAAAAACGCTAATATTGTTATTAACTACTAATTTAAAATATTCTGTGTATATAAACATAGATATAGTTGTAGAGCCTGGAAGAGGAATTTGCCGAAAAGAATATTATTTGCTCGATTATTTTGTGTTTTATAGAAATCTGATTGTCAGTTGTATACAAGGTGAGAGGAGGATGGATGTTTCAATCAAGTGAAAGACAAATTATCTAAGTAAGCTTGTGCTCCTCTGTATTTTCCAGTGGAAAGCGTTCACAAATTTTGTACAATTTCCCTGCTACCAAACGTAGACAATCACGAAGCTTGTATGTTGGACGGAGTATACTTATACTTACCGAGCTCTCATCATTGTCTATAAATGTCAAACTCACAGTTTATCTAGATGTGAAATTCTTCACAAACAGTAAGATAACGCTAAATATATCCAATAGAAGGTCCATAAATCATACATCCTGGTGAAAATCATAAGTCATTGTCATGCAACATAAGAAAAGCTCTGATTGAACTGTTTGTATGATTGAACAGCAAAAGTGGGTTTCTACTTCTTGTAATAATTCATACATATAAGCGGATGAATAATATATCTGTAAGCAGAACATAGACATTGTTCAGCAGTGTTGTGATGTTGTACAGAAAGAAATAGCTAATATAAACGTATTCCGTCATCAACAGCAACTAAGGAGAAAAAGTGGAATATTCATTTCACCAACAGTATTTGCATTCTATCACCTGTGTTTAGTGACACAATATGGTAAGTGACACTAAGGTTGGACGAATGGTGTTGTTTTGAGCCAGTCACGTAGGGAGGTATAGACTACTTTGCTGGTGACAGAGCCATTGGATTGAGACTGGTGATGATATGACCTAAAATCCTTCTCAATAGCGGAAATGAATTCACTCGTGGTCTACTCCAAGAACCATTCAATTCTGATTATTCTTCGTCTAACTATCCTTTCTCCCGTATATCTCCTTTCATTGGAGTTTCTTTGAATAGTTTTTTCTCCACCTACTCAATGTGTTCCCTCTGAAGTGGGCCGAATTCAGCTGATGCACCGTTCTACGACATTCTACACTGAAATTCAGTTGATGTCAGTCAGTTCAGTGACGGATTGATTTGAATGGGGAGAAAATCTGTGGTGAATAAAATAACAAATATTAACCTGTAGAAGGTACTGTCTACATGGATTGCTAAAGTAATTCAAGAAATGTGTGATGATTGAATATGGAAGAGAAGCTACTTTGAACAGTATTGGCTAGTATCGCTATCCCTTCAGTCATCGGAAATATATGTTCAAGTCACCGAGAATTTTAGGCTGCTTATCAAATATTTAGAAAAGGATTGCCGGAACGCATTTATTCAATGAATTACAACACACAAGAAGAAATTCGCGTGCCTCTTCTACATGAGTTTACATCACAGGCTTCCTTTCGAAGATATCTAGGCACCGCGATTTCAAACCAATATGTGGGGACATATATGCTTCACATACTTATTGTATACCTATTGAAGGCATATCAATGAAAAGACTTAAGTGACATTTGTCATCAAATATCATTTACAGTTACACTCTACCTGTCTTTCTGTCGGCTTTTGGTAATACAATTTTTAAACTTAAGTATATTCAGATAATAACACTCCACCCCCCCTCCCACACCAATTCTCAACATTTTCTCTTCCCTCCTTTCTGTTATTATCACTGACAAATTCTTATGCTGACCTAAATTGAACTGAAATTTGACCTTTCATATCTTGTGAGTTGTTTTCTTGTTCAATATGTGGATGACCAATAAAAAAATGTGTTACGCAATGATTACACATCATAGCTAAATTACATTGGTAAATTACATTTTCCAATCGATTTGTCTAGATTCCGGACGAGAATTAGTCATTTTGAAAATTCACACTTCCAGTGTCATTTCGACTGAGAAATGTCAATGTTAAGAGCTCGAATTTATTCTAGCTTACCAAATCTCAATGACGATGGAGAATATCCAACACCAGTACGTTAATAGATTTCACTTCGTTTCTTTATATATTGTCCACTTTTTGTTCCATAAATCATCGCTTATTTTAGTTTTTACAGTCTTTTTGTTTCGGCCAAGCGACTGGAATTTCGTGAGGTCACTTTAGTCTCAATAACGTAAGCATTTATTGTACTGAATCGACACAAATTTCGCTGTTATAGAATATAACTTGAATGAATCGAATATTGGTGTTTCACTTACTTATATCTTCTACACCCTCCATTTAGGTGGCTCCTCCAAACACACCCTGGTCGTATCGGTGTACTAAACAAAACCTTTCCAGTGAACTTTATACTTTGGATGCAATATCGAAATGTTTTTCATGGGATTCGGTGAGTCATTCTTTCTTATCTGTAGTTTCATGAAGTAGGCATGTTTTCTGGAAGCTTTTAATTCAGTGCCCCTCTCACTTTGTATACAATTGCATTTCAAAATAGTATAGTGGCTATTCCGTGAGTATTTTGTGTGAACTGAGGAGGTCCTAATCAACAGTCGTTGATCGTTGATGAGACATTTTCTAATTTCACCTAGATTCAATATATCACGATGACTCTTCCTACTGAATGAAACGTATTTTAGGAGGTCACCAGCAGTGTCATTACAATATATTCAATTTTCACTGATCAGTGTGTTTTGACGAACCAGATTGATACGATGATACCCCATTCGGTGTATACTATCTACCAAGACGATTGTATATCTCTGACATGGAGTGGAGTGCAGTAGAGGTAGTAGACCGGTTCCGTACAACTACCGGATCACCATAGATAGGTGACCTTCTCATTGTTTTCTCCAGTATTTGTGATTGTAAATATTCGCGAACATGACAATTGATGTGTCTCCTCTTCTCTTCGTGTTAATATAGATATTTATCCATCAAATAGTGTTTGAGATATCAGTAGGACACTTTTAACGCAGTGTGTATCCCACACTAATTAATTCCAGTATGAGATTGGTGTGTTTGTGTCGGCATTGAAAGCTCAATGAGAATGATGTCAACAGTGAGAATTGATTTGATTAATTTGTGACGATTCTGTGTAACAGACAATCTGCATGGAAATACTACTCGGAACTCAGGAATCCGAAGTATGAGTTGTCAAATTGTATGATCACTTGTTCAGTAATTCACTACTATTATTACTACTATGACTCCTTATTCTTCCCAACATTGTTAGATTCAGTCACACAACCATTCGACTGAAAGTTTGCACGAGTCACTTGGTTCACTTTCGAAATAACTGATATGGCACACTCATAGTGAAAATCATGCTCACGGAAAAAATTACCTCCAGATATTGTGGAAAATGTATCAGATGATTAACTAATTAGTCAGTTATTCGGCTTATTTATTTATCACTTCAGATATAAACATCAAATCAAGTATAACTGTAGTATTTCTTTTGATATTTCATTATGTCACTTTAATGATAGTGTTTGAATGGAGTTGGTTGTAATGCAACACCCTTAAGTCGATGCCGGCATAAAATGGAGACACCTGTGACGAGGAGTCTTCAGGAACAACCGAATTCAGTTGAGAAGCAACAAAAAGCATTGGAGAGTGTGAATGACATTTCTCGGCGGAAAGACAATTATCCACAATCGGTAAGATAAGAATTACCACTTGTAATACTTGCCTTATTTCATGATTGTAAATCGTGTGAATGTGAATGTGCGAGGAATTTGAGATCGTGAGACAATTATTTGTAACTTCGTATGCATATCATCACTTCTGCACTTAAGTGATTGTTTTCTGAGTCGAGTCTTCGGTGATTGATTACACGGCACTGGTATCTCCTCAGCTTTGAAGTGGTTGAACGAAATCCTCCGGTTACCTTCCTAACATTGGCTAAACACACGTGGTTATGTCTACTCAGTGTCAGTGGGTCAGCCTTCCACAGTTGGTAGGTTGGATAGTCAGCCTGACTGATATGGGACATGAACACTGAATGCATTATTTATTCCGGATTCTGCATGACATTGAAATGTGACAGTGTAGCTTCGTAGACACTGGTGTTATGGTAATCGGTTTCGGAATTCACTGTTTGCAGAGTAGTTGACTGACAATGACTGGTAGTCTGATATCCGATATGTTTACATTTATTACTGTTCACCCTACCTCTTCCGATGTGAGAAATGATCATATAATGTGAGTAGGAGTAAATTATTCTGAGGTTTATTCAAGGTTAGTATATGTCCTCGATGAGAATGTATGTATGTTTGAGAATTTCTCTGGGAGGTAAGTGATAAAACGAGAAGTGAAATCTGTAATAACGAGTCGTCGTCAAAGCCTCTGGCGGACAGTAGTTAATTAGTGACTGAAGGTGAGTTGGCCATCAATCTGGGGTTTCCTATCACTGACTGTGCATGTCACATGCTAGTTCTGTGGTCTGGAGTAATTCTGGTGTAGGTAGGTGAGCATTAGTCCTTGGAATTATTTGATATGTCAGTCGTGATTATTCCCAACTAGACGAAACATGCTTTTCTCCTGCCTACGTAAAGTTCCCCTCCATATTAGCAACACGCCTACAGTAATTCTAACTAATTCTCCCACTTTACAACACTTGTCTCTCTCTCTTTCTCTTTTTTAGTTACTTGAAGAAATAAGAGCAGAAGAAGCCAAGCCGAGAGCGCCTAACAGAGTGTTAATGCGAGAAGTCAGACGAGAATAAGTGGAATAAATCGGAATACATAGTGACGTGATATTTCTCCTACGACTTTTTGTTTGCTGTAACTTTTTGTTCAGAATACATATTTATTTATGCATGGAAATTGAGTGTTCTTGCCTTCTCCCTACTTTACTTCGCTTGACTCCGACAGAGTGAAGGAACTGACTCCAACTAGGTTGATTCAAGTGTCATTGGCGTGTGTTTGCAAGGAATAATGTTGGGCGATCTCAGTCCGTCACATACAATTCGATCAGTTGTCCAGATGAATATGTAGGCGTCTTATAAGATCCACGATTCACGTCTCAGATATGTGGTTTACACGATTTGGCTGATTCATTTCTGGCTTCATGAATTAGATGGTTTAGGTGAGTCATGAGTATGAACTAGTCTCTCTCTCACAGATACACTTAATTGTTTCATATGACAGCTGACAGAAACTCAGTGAACATGAGTATAAATCAACAAGTTTATCTGAGATCGCCAATCATTTCAGCTCTCCTACTTCCCATTTCATACAAGAAGTAAATGTGATTATTTATCTGATCTTGTGACATAGAAAAGGCCATTTGAAAAAGATCACGAATTCATTGTTTAATTCATAGTTATTCTGCACAGTAAGTGTATAAATACATTTATTCATAAAACAGTTTTCGTTGGCTTCATTATATCAAAGGTGGTAGTGTGTCTATTAATTAACGAGCTTATTCGCTATCAATACAGAGATCCTAGATAAGACTCAGTGGAACTATTTATAGCAGTTGTGTCAGCTCTTCCAACCATATGATGGGAGTTAACTTTTTCTGAAGATCACTTGCTTAGTGCACTTTCTGATTCGAAGTAGTACAAAACAATTTCACAGTGGATCATCCAATATATTTAAATGTACAAATTAAAACTCATATGTTAAAAGTATGCATACCAATGGAATTCTCACCAACGTTTAACAAACAGATTCTGTAGTTAATTCAGCTCCGTCTCACGTCATTTCTGCTACACATGTTCTTCCAGTTAATTCTAATTCTGTGACCATAGGTACCCGCGTTTTATCTCCCGTATTCAGTGGTATAATACGGTGAGCATTGTTGAGGTTAGGTGTCTAGTGTTAGGAAAGGAGGGGAACCAATCGACGAGGTTGTGAAGCTACATCAATTGGCATGGTTAGGACATGCGTCACGCATGCATCCCAGGTCACTGATCGCCTTCTTCTATGGACAGTGTAAGCTGACATAGGATCAGGTTGGAAAAGGGCTAGTGGTGGTCAAACGAAAACACGGCATCAGACAATGTAATCCACTACAGTTGGATTTAGCCACGTAGAAAGATATAGACTTTGTGACTGGTTGGGAACCTTGGGATGGTAGGAATCAATGAAGACTGGAGACAATTGGTAATATGGCTCAAAATCTTTGTCAATGACGCAGATACATTCACTTTTTGTGACTTGACCTATCCAATAAAACTCTGTTGTTTTTTCTATATTACTTTTCTTCCCCCTTCACATTTCTGTATTCTGTCTTCCTGCTGAATCTCTTTTTCTCTCTCTCTCTTTTGTCTTCCTTTTTGTGTTACATGGAGTGTGGCGATTCGAACTGCTGCACTTCTGTGCAAAGTTCTATGCTGAACCCAGTCAGTCAGTCAAATTCTAATATATTAAAGCAAACACGAAGATTACTCTTTTCCGTCTATGCCAGTAAGGTCTGATGAGTGTTTTCGTTTATCTGTATCTACAAATTGTTCAGACATATGCGTATTGTTTACTTTTTGTAACTAACTCCACTTTATTTATTGACTTTATAACTTGCTCATTTTACATCGGACGATTGACTTCATAAACAGCAATAGTAATAATGATAGTAACAATAACAAAAATGAAATACATTATCATGACTTCTCATTTAAAAGAGAGAAATACATTTTAGGGCAAAAACAATTATGCACGTGTACACATAGATATTTGTACTCATTTAAGTGACAGTAAAGCATACAAGTTGATTTCAGAAGCAGTTTTCGTTGCATGTGCTCCATACGGTTCATTTGCACGTCACGGACTAGTGAGTATTTGCATGACTTGTTACAACCTTTCACTTTATTAATTCATATTCAATGTTTCTGTTTACATGAACTCGATGAAGTGCCTCGCACACACGTACACACTCTTACACACACATGTTTGAATAATCAGCAGCATAATGATAAAATTTAGCTTGTTTCTAAATGATAAAAATGAAAGTCTACATTAAACTGCATACCAAACGTGATATTTGAACTAAGGACTTCATAAAGACGCTATGATTATGATTCTCCGGACATTTATGGTTCCATATAGCATTGCTTGCATCATTCCATATGTAATTAGCTGTTATACACTAGTTAGTTGGTTAGTTGGTTTACAGCGAATACTTTCAGTGACATAAATGTCGACTTTAGAAGAATGTATCATGGCTAACATCATATCTATGCGACTTCACAATCAGTTCTGTTTCCTAATATTTTCATCAAAATTTCCCATTCGGTTTCACTTAAGTTCTCAATAAACTTGTAGAATGTGTTCGATTCCTTTAGCACTGAGTTCAGTCCATCTCCTGCCTCGTCTTGTAACATAATGTATTCCTCTTTTTCTTGCCTTTCTCTTTCATGTTGCTCATGTCTATTTGAAGAAGACAAGTGAAACTCTGGTAACAGGCGTTCATGAAGGAGACGTAATCGTTTTTCAAGTTTTAAATGTGTCTGCGTACTTTGTCCTTCTTCATTATGAGTAAAGATATTAACGGTGTTTTCATGTGATGCTTTCTTAGCATGACTGTAGAGTAAAGGTTTCACTGAGAAGTAATCATGAATATGACAGTAGTAAGAATGATGCGTACTGGGTATTGATGTGACTTCCTTTTCTCTTTGTGCTTTCAAGTGGTAAAGATAGTTTTGTGAGTAAGGGATTTTTGAGCCTTGCAAATCTAAGGCATTTATATTACTCTTGTTACCATGAGGATGTTTAAATACTGCAGGATTCGAGTTTACTCTGTATTTCGTTAATGACAATGAAGTTGTTGGACAAATCACGGGTTTTGGAACGTGTTTAATAATATTGTTGACATTGTACTCTTTACTTGTGGTGCATGCTATGGGTTCGTCTGTAAAAATTGATCTTGAAATATCATTTTTATGAGCACATTTGTCACACTTCAAGTGAATTGTACGGGGCTTGGGAGTTGGAGTTGTTGAGTCGACCTTACTTCTCGTCACATCGCCATCATTCAGAATTACCTTGAATAAATTCTGTTTTATGCACTGTCGTCTAGCTGATACACTGCTGGTACATTGTAGATGCTTGCAGTGAATACACTTCCTATCTCTTTCTGAATATATTGGAATACAACACAGCGTCGCAAATAACAGAAAGAAAGGGAGAGGAGGAGAGAAAATATGGAAACTGAGTATATTCAGGTGAACTTTAAACATTACATTTTAAATTGGTAACTTTTATAAACAGTTCACATTATAGCTGGATTCCGTGTTTGTCAGAGCCTAATTTACAAGTCAAATCGTTTCTGCATTGTTTTTGGAGAAGAGATATAACAGTGTACAGAAAATGATAACAATTGGTAAAAAATGCCTACACCACTATCGTTATGCTTAGTTCACTCCGTCATTGTTTGTGCTCGGATAAATCTCTAACCATTTATTGTTATCATGGCAGCCAATGAAGAGCACTTTGACTCAGTACGCAGTTCTAAGCAGCCTATTCTTGTTTTATGTATACTAGATACCGTTGGCAATAAAATGTCCACCGACTATATTAGGCTCTGGAGGGTCTTAAAAGTGTTAGTGGTTGCCTTACTTGGCAAGAACGATGTAACTATCGGCCTTCGGAAATTAATACAAGCAAGTACGTGGTCATACGTGTGGTTTATAACAACATTCATAACTACTCTATAAATGCACTTTGCTCTTCATGTAGTTACTAGGCGTAGGGACTTAGGAGTGACTGTTAAAAATGACCCACAAACTTAAGCAAACGGAGAGGAGTCTTAGAATATTATGGCCTCTCCATAAGACTCAGCAGGTTTATTTCGTATATTATATCCAACCTATATCAGACCCTAGGTAGTCAGTCTGTGTTTCAGATATGAAGCAACCATACCAAGAAGGATGTAAGAAATGGGAAAAACCGAACTTAGAATTCTCAGAATTCTCGTGCACAGAGAGACTTAGTCAACTATATTAATTCTCACTTTCACAATGAAGGTTGGCGAATGTCCTCATTACTGTATCCCGTATTTTGAGTAGTGGCTTAGGTGCTTATTCATGAGAACTTACGAATTATGGGGAATAGTTAGCACAAGGGAGTGAAGTGTTACCTTATATATATACATATATATATATATATATATACATATCTGTGAATGCAATATTAAGTGAACAAATTATAGCACTACAGGACTTTATCAATCTTCCAATCGTATTCGTATACTGGAAGGGAAATGGTTGTCGTAAGGTTAGTGACTTTCATCAGTTCTCCGTACAATAATCTCTGTGTTGTCATACTAGGATATAGATGAAGTCAATATTTACTGTCTTCACATTCGTAAGCACGGTGAGTATAATCTCTAAATATATGGACGCATTTCACATATTAGCTTCCTTAATTAAAAGCAATAAATCCTGAATGAATAAAATTAACTAGGTAGGGGAATGGATTACTTATGAACTATCACTTACGTAAATGTTTCGGTGTTGATATGAGCTGACACGGTGAGGGAGCCACTTTGTTTATTTCTTTTTTATTAGATGTTCGGAGAATTTCATTAGTTGTGAACTGAACACCGAAATCTTTAGTCATTGATTCAAATGATCTAGTTGGCATGTGAACCTGTGTCCCATTGTCTACATAATTTCTCTTTTCACTGGTTAACTCTTCAGTTGCTTCTCTTCCTTTTGTTGGATATATTTGACATTGCGCTGATGTGATAGAATAAAGGGTTATCCATACAGAATATTGAAATGATTTCAGACACACCAGATTTCTTATAATATTCATGAATGATAGAAATTAGAATGCATAGGCCATTAAATTCCAGCTCAAATGGCTGAATGATCAATGAGCTGGCTTCGTAACCTGAAGGTCTTGAGTTCGACCGCCGGTGGGTTCACCGATGCGTACTGCTGAAGAGTGCCAGACCAGAGTAAAACGACTGTCCAGTACTCTCTGGTTTTCAGTGGTCATCCAAATGATATCAATCCATGATCAAAGTTGAAACCAATCAAATCCCTAAAAACTAACACTTCAAAACAATTAATACCTTTTATTCTATTCATACTAAAAATGAGAAATCAGCTTCTGCTGATTTGAAGTTTATAAGTGTTATCATTGCAAGTCAGAGCCCCACGACCACCGTGAACTAATAGTCTTTGAAATCAAGTTCTTATCTCTTGAATCAATGAAATGCTACATCTATGCATTGTTACGCCTTTCAGTTGCCTTGTTTTTATTTTGTCAGTTTAGTTATAGAAATAGTAAATGACGCCGTTTTTTCTTTGCCCAAAATAGTAATAATACGAATAGTAGACACCACCTAAGGTATTTTTAAGGTAACCTCTTTTAATCACTCAAAGTATTTATTTCTGTTCAAAGATCTAACCGGGACTGTTTGGTAACGGTGTGTCAAATAGTTTTCCAATGAATTGCATAGAACCGTTCAAGATCATAAATAAATACACCTTTAAATAGATAAATTTGTTTGAGATCTACTTCTTCTTCCATGGGAACAATTCATTTCTAGAGTGAGAGAGAGAGAGAGAGTTCCTACTGATATTCAGATCGCATTGAAACGGCAAACTTGTCCAGTGTATCTATTATTCTACGTAATAGAGTAGACTAAGTGAACCAGTGACTGCTGATAGCTTATGAAACCTGACAACGAAATAAAAACGGTTCCATTGACATGCGTTACCAAACTATTCATAACACCTAGAAATAATCGAACACGCATCAGAATATCACTGAACAAGTGACAGTAAGCTCTGATGCATCTCATATGTGCGTGTGCGGTTATGTCAAACACTAATTTCACTTATGTTTGTGACTGTTCTGCCACCTACCCCTACAACGGGTAGCTGGATTTCACATGAAGAAGCCAGACCGGAATGTCCAAAGGAAATTTGTACAGTCATTGAGACCTAAACCTTTTACAACTTATCATTCTACTGATTACTTCATTTCTCTGACCACTGCATCTTTAATGGCTTGTTAAATAGTCAGTCGAAACAACCATTTATTTTCAAGAGTTGATTTGTAGGGTTTCGATTTGTTTCGAGTCTGATCACGAATCTATATCAGTTGTAGAAGTATTGAAAATTGGGGAGTACTTGAAAGTCACTTCATCCTAATTTGGGACTCTTCATGAGTACGCAACCACTGGGTCTCCAAACCAAAACCCTCCGGTCACAAGGGAATATTGCCCCTTATTTAATCCATTTGTTTAATGTTTGCAATTGTTTTTACCCTTTAATTGTTTACATTAATTTTCTCGGTTAATTATCACTCTCTTGACATGTCAATACTGACTAATTGTTGCTAAGTAACTTATCACGACTAGATTGGTATTTTCGTTTTATTGTATTGAGCACACTGTGTAATACTTAGAATAAATCCACAGAAGAGAGATATTTTTCCACACTGAAAATAATAAATCTAACCAAGAGAATACCACATATTCACGTCTTGCATTATTGATTGCAGTGTCTGAGAGGTGCGTTATCCAGACTTGTTTTGTTGGTATTCGAAATAAAGACGGAAGGTAAGGTACGCTAGGTTTCTGGGTGAGATACAGAACGAAGTGATGAAACGATAGATACTCCAGTTGCATTTCGAATGTTGTTCACAGAAAGTTTAGATTATTTTTGTAAACATGAGCGAAACGCAGACTGACTAAAGCCATTAAGATACCAGATCAATCTGAGTCCAAATACTTTATTGTGACCATCAGAGTATTGTCACTAATAATGAGGCATTCGGTCATTGTTAGAGATATGTGAATTCATTTGATCTAATGATCAGAACACTCCAACCAATTGTATCACTCCCAGGAACTACAACACATAATTTATCCAAAGAATTATACAGAAAACTAAAACACCAAACGGAATATTGTGATCACTCCATCAACTCCGCTATCCAATTCCTAGAGAAAATCAGAGGCATCCAAATACATGAACAAGAGATAATGATATCCTTCGACGTCACAGCATTGTATACCTCAATCGGACAAAAAATAGCAAAAGAAACCATGGAGTAATCACTTAGCAACGACGAACACCTTCCACAACAATCAAAAATGCAAAACACAAGCCGGATGGAATGCATAAACCTATGCCTAAAACGTACTTCCAATTCAACGGCCAAATATATGAATAAGTCAAAGGAACACCTATGGGATCGCCAATATCAGGTTTAATTGCAGAAGCAGTGATGCAAAGGCTCGAAAACATAATTCTACCAAAGATCAAACCCAAGGTTTGGATACGCTACGTAGACGACACATTTGTAATTATCAAAAGAAACGAGTTAGATAAAGCTCACAACCTGATAAACAACGTCTTCAACGACATCAAATTCACAAGAGAAGAGGGATCAGAGAACCAAATTCCATTTTTAGACGTCTTAGTCAAGCGAACAACCACAGGACAATTAGAAACTCAAGTCTATAGAAAATCAACTCACACAGACCAAATCCTGAATTACAACAGCAACAATCTAATAGCACACAAGAGGAATTGCATACAAACACTATTCAAGAGAGCCAGGACTCATTGCAGCACTCCCACCTCAAGGAAAATTGAAGAAAAATATCTCATGGACGTCTTCCAAAAGAATGGATATCCACGGAATTTCATCAAAAGACATATACCCCCAAGCCAACCTATCAAACCAAAAGCACCCAAGGAAAGCACAAAGAAAATCGCCTTACCTATATAAAGGACAACTCAGAAATCACTACAAGACTCTTCATACCTTTAGGAATTGACGTCGTACACAAACCAACAAAGTCACTTCACTCAATTCTATGTCAACCAAAAGACTTAACAACGAAGGAAGATAAAACCAACATCATCTACAAAATAGATTGTATCAACTGCGAAAAACACTACATTGGCCAAAGTGGACGTCCCCTTCGTCTTCGTATCTACGAACATAAGCTAGCTGTCAAAAGACATGATATCCACTCCGTCATATCACTACATACAGACAACCACGGACATCAATTCGACTGGGACAACGTTCAAATATTAGACAGAGGAAACAACAAGAATGCTAGAGAATTTTTAGAAGCTTGGCATTCCAGTGAATCATCAATCAATAGACACATCGAGATCGACAAAATATATCAACCGATAAGAAAGAAACCTCACACACAAAGGGTCAAAGTTCAAATCAAAGAAACAAGGAAATACAATACAAATAACCTAGAAGGTGTGAAAACACAGAAACAACCAATCAAGTCCAAGGTCACCAGGAGAGATGATTAATAAACTCGTGCAGAAATCTGAAAGCTCACTTCAAATTGAAGTATGCGCTGAAGATATCGCCTAGTAGGGCGATGAAAGCTTCGCAAATTAACTGTCCAGCTCAGAGAACACAACCATATCAAAAACTCCAACTAATCGATAGAAGTATATCAGTCCCTAGACTGGTGAAGCTAATTCATGCACAAATGCAGCAATACTATTTATTTACACAGTGTGAAACATACACTGATCAATTCACACATTGTCTAAAATTCTGTCTCTCTCTCCTTCTCTGTGGTGAACTGACATTTGAATTCCACACATAATATATAAAATGATGGCAGCTTATTGAACAGATCATAACTGTCTCCAATACAACTGAGTAAAATTTGTGTAGGCGTTTCTAAGCTTAACTGAGCTGTAGATTAGTTACAAAATGGTAGACTAGTTGCATGTCTAATCATCAATCATCATAAATTACACTGGTATTCGGTTGTTATGCAAGTTAAAGAAGTATCGTTTCGTGTTTACATATCAAGTGTGCTGTTTACGTAATAGAGTATTATTCATTGGCGTGTAAATCACGAAGATTGGCAACCACTCCCGTGTATGAGTGGTAGGAAGAATGCATGGTACTTGATGATTTGAAAAATTTCTAGTTACCATAAAATATATCGTCTAGTGTTACACTGTCGAAATCTTTCATTGGTGAGCTGATGATGATGATGATGTAGAAGGCCGAATAAGTCGAAGATGTGTTTAGAGGACTCTCGAACTACTGTGGAAATCCCTAAGTATAAATTGTCAACAATACACGAAGACTTTTACAGTGATACAATAAATACAGAGATGCAGATTACAGGCTACAATAATGAATAGGATGTAGTGGTGGGAATGCAAAAATGAAGGTAGTAATTTCATTAGTTAATTCACTTGTTATACTTGAGCAAAGTAAGAACAACAGATTGCGTAGACGTGTAAACTGGCATACTTAATTGCAGGTTCAACGTAGTGAGCATTATATTGTGTAATTAAAGATGCTAAATTTTAATAATAATAAAGATATAGTAGCAAATAGAATATCCACTAGAATTAGAAAAATTCCACAAAAATTCAGGATCATTCAAACCTAGATGGCCAAGATAAGCATAATGGATCCATATTAAGAAGCCCAATTTGTGCGTCCAAAAGAAGTTAGTTCTGACATTATCCTTACCTTGGCCTTCAAGGTTTGAATGATCCTGAATTTTTGTGGAATTTTCCTAATTACTGTGTAATTGTCAAGTGTCGGTTAGGTCTCACAAGAAATTACCGAGAATATGTTTTTGCTTAAATTTTTCTGTATAACTACTATAATGGGAATATTTCAATGATTGACAACCTGAGAACAGAGGTGACCACATCGATAAATGAACAAGGTTCTATGGGATACTGCAAAAATCCCGAAACTACTT